TTAAGGTATCTTTTTGTACTGATTGTTTGTTCGCACACCTTGTTTTGGAGTGGCCTGAACCACAACAAATGAACCTTTCTTTTCTTTCCCCCCCCTTTTTTTTTGAGGTTTCTCTGTTAAATACTTCTTTGACATTTGTGCTCCTAATCTAAAAGGCTGTCTGCCAACTGCCCCTCATGAGAACTGAATCAAAACTCTTTTGGGACTGTTCTTTCAACCTGATTTTGAACCTTATAGGGATGATTCTGCTTTGGGCGTTGGCATTCAGTAATCCGTGAATCGTCCATAGCTGGAAGTGAGAATTTTCGATATTTGGAGGGTCCGTTTCTTTTTCTTTCTTTATGACAAATATGCGTGTGACGGGGAGTTGAAGACAGAACATTTCCTACCTCTCCTTTCTTTATTCTAGCACTCAGTGGGTTGAGGGGCAGTAGACTGAGGATAGATAAAGGAAGCGCTTCTTCCCTCAGTGAGTCATTAGCATGTGGAACTCACTGTCACAAGATACAGTGATGGCAAACAGTTTAGTTGGCTAGACAAATTCCTGGAGAACCGATCTGTCAGTGGCCACTGTTAGCTGTGATGACTACCTGGGGGACTCCACTTTCAGAGGCAGAAGCCCTCGTGAGTTGCCAGTGCTAGGACCAGTGCCACGCCAAGGCTTTGGCCTCCGTGCCCCGCTTGTGGGCCTTCCGGGGGCATCTAGCTGGCAGTCCTCATGATCCACGATGTCCCGAGTTCAAATTCTGCATTCAGGAACTCCCTGGGTGGCCTTAAGCAAGCCATGCTCTCTCTGTGCCTCCACATCTGCAATAATATTGTCCCGCCTTGCAGGACTGTTGCGAGGATTGCAATACAGGAAGGGGTGTGTAGCATTTTTTTTGAATCTCGAAAGCCATGTTAATTATTACGGAACTGGGCCCCAAACAGCAAATGAACAGTATTTGCTTCCTAAAAACCAAGAGTTAGTTTTGTTTTTAAAAAAGCATAGCCGTATAGTTCCTGGGGGAGAGAACATAGAGACAGAACAAGCTCTGTCTTGAGGTAAACATTGGACCAGGATAGAAAAAGTGTCGCTGGTCTCTCTCAAGGCTTTGATCTGGATGTTCAGGCATAACTTCCCCAGAAGTTAAAGGGAAGCCAATTTAATTATGGCCTTCAAGGGCTAGCGTGTCTTTTGTCTGTGCAGCCGACCTGGCGATATCTTCTTGGGGGCCTGTAACCTTTGAAAGAGGAGCTGCGGTGGCTCAAGTGGTTAAGACGCTGAACTGCAGGCTATGGAAGGTCGGTAGTTCAGCAGTTCGAGACCCGGGTGCCGCATGACGGAGTGAGCTCCCTTCTCTAGTTCCAGCTCCTGCCAACCTAGCCGTTCGAAAGCAAGAAATTGCAAGTAGATCAATAGGTACCGCTTCGGTGGGAAGGTAACAGCGTTCCGTGCACCTTGGTGTTTAGTCATGCCGGCCACATGACCACGGAAACGTCTTCGGACAGCGCTGGCTCTTCGGCTTTGAAACGGAGATGAGCACTGCAACCTTAGAGTTGGACTCGACTGGCTTTCGAGCAAGGGAAGCCTTTACCTTTACTAACCTTTGAAAGTGACTGTTTTCCCTAGCTTTCTTGAGCCAGCATAGCGTAGCGGTTAAAGTGTCAGACAAGGGTCTGGGAGACTCCCTGTTCAAATCCCCACTCGGGCCATGGAAGCTC